TATTTTGTGAAGGATTAAATATATTGATATATTTTTTATATAATAAAAATTAAAAAGTCTACATAAATAAATTTAAGATATTTTATAATATAAAATATAATATATATCTAATTGTATTTATTAAATATATTTATTTAAATAAATAAAAGATAAACTCACGCTCTAAAACTCATAACTCAAAAAATAAATATAAATAAAACTAATTCAATAAATTCATTTCATAAGAAATATCATGCAAGACTGAATGTATTAGCACTATAATTTAAAAATAAATATTTTTTATTTTTTAAAAATAAAGTTTATTTGTATAAAAAAATTATAAATAAATTGGAATAATAACTTAAAAATAAAATGGAAATAAAACAATTAAAAATAAATATTCAAAAATGTAAAAATCATAACTTAGGCCATTAAATTAGGATAAACTTATAGAAAAAACTTAAAGATAATCACAAAATTAATATTAAAAAAACACTAATACAAAATTATAAGATCATATAAAGCTAAGTTTCTAACAAATTAAATGTCAAACTATAAAAAAACTAATTATATGAAACGATAAAAACAACGAGGGTGAGGAAAAAAAATTAATTAAAGGGACAAAAAATATTCAATTTGAGGGTTTTATTGAATTAAAAAAATACTTTAATAAAATAAAAAAAAATAAAAAGAATGAGGGTCAAAATAAAAAAAAATAAAATAATAAAAATTTTGATTGAAGAATGAAATTGAAAGAAAAAAATTCAATAAAAGTGCTAATGAAAAAATTAGAAATTTTAAAAAATGATGACCAAAATAAAAAACCAAACATGTGAGAAATTGCAATTAAAGGACTAAATTGAAAAAAATAAAAAAAATTTATTAATAAAATGGAATGAAATAACAAATTAATAGAATGGGGACTAAAATTGAAAAGTAAAAAACAAATAGAACAATGATGTACACTATATATAAGAAGAGAGAAAAGAAAGGAAAAAATCAAATGAACATTAAAGTTTAACCATCGTAATCCGTCACACACCACTTCAAATAAAACATTACACAACGACATATTCAAGGAGACGGTAGAAGCCCAGTTATATATATATCGAATGGCATCACACATGCTGTTTAAAGGGCACAGACGCCCTCCATGCAGTAGGGTGTGTTAAGTATGCTTCAATAACTTTAAGTATTAATTTAAAAAAACATCAAAAATATTAAAATATCCCTCACGATCATGACAATAACACAAAATACTCACATAAAAATATAAAAATATCATCAACACTAAGATTATGTTTTGTCTTTTTCAAGATTAAATATGTAATTATAATATATATTAAAATTTAACAACCCCAAACACTCTTATCTTGTGGTATAATAATTTTCTAACTCCAAGAAAACTATGTATTTTTATTATTAAAAAACTTATACAAAATTAAAAAAATATTTGGTCTAACAGTTTTATATTTTATCAATTTTTAAAGAAAAAAAGTATTTTTATTATATATAAAAAAAAGACATCAACACCCCCACACATAAGAGGCTTAATTTTTTGAAAGATAAAGGTAATTTTTGGAAGATAAAGGTTAATTTCACTATAAATTAGATTATAATAAAATCACTCTGCCATTTAGGTTTTTAGGTAATATTGAGAGGATGGGTGGTGATCGTTACTGATGCAGGTACAGTTTGTTTTCTAGGCTGAGATCAGGTTTTATGATTTTATGATTTTGTTTTATTTAGGGTTAATTTTTTAAATATTTTTAAATTATTGTAATTTATTAATAAAAAAAATTAAAAATAAAAAGTTACTTTTAATATATTTTTAAATAAAAAAATAATTGAAAAGCGACAGCTTATAATCAAAGTAGTATTTAGGGCAGCTGTTTAAATAAAAAAGTACAGAGCCAGGATCTTTTGCTGATAATTAAAAGGATGAAATGATTAAAATCCATGATTAAAGTTGATTTTGGGTGTTTTCCTGGGGCAGATGAGTGGTGGCCATTGTCGTTTATGGAATCCTTTCAAGTCTTTTCAGTTTTACTGGATGCCTCTGCCTCCGAATGCTACCTCTCTCTCTCTCTCTCTCTCCACCTCATGGACACCACCCTCTCTCCCCCTCCACCTCATGGCCACTACTTTCCTCTGCAATAAATTGTGCTATTTTCGATACCATCATATTCTAAGAATTTAAATTATTTATACCTAGACTTAGCCCCGCCATACATCACGGTCCATATTTTATAATATGAGCGTGTTTTAAATTTTTTCAAAAACCACCTATTGGGATCATAGCTATACACAATGGCCGGAAAAAAAAAACATAGAACAAATTCAAAGACAAAATAATTTGAGGGTGGCCTTGAAAATCTAGATGGTTATACGTGAAAATTAAGAATAAAAATTATGGTATCAAATTAAAGGTTCGTTCCTAACATGACTAGTTAATGATAAAAAGATTATTAAAAAAATTAAGATAATATTTTAGAAATCACAATTTAGTATTTAAATAACACTATATACACCATTTAAAACAATATAACTACTTTTCACAAGCATGGTATAAGTATTATTAAATTTTTAAATTTTTTGTTAAATATTAAAGTATAAATATGTCTTTAATCCGCCTAGTAATAATAAAAAATTCAATGTAAAAATGATGAAAACAACCCTTTATCAAAAATAAAGTTATTTTAACTTTAATAACATTTTAGTAATTAGATTTTTTTAATATTTATTAAATATCAAAGTATAAATCTGCTATTAATCTGACCTAACAATAACAAATAAATCAATATGAAAATGATAAAAATAACCTTTGACTAAAGTTAAGGTTTTTTTGATCTCAAAGGCATTTTAGTAGTTGTATTGCTTATTTAAATATAAAAAGGTAAAAATACCCCTAAACACCTTGCCTATTATTTTGATACCAAGAGTATTTCTACATTTTTATTGTTAAAAAATAATAAAAAAAACCCTACTATCTTTATCAACCAGGCTATTTTTTTATGGCACCGGGAGCAAAATTGACTTTCATTATTAAAATTCACATAATGCACATGAGTGTAAAGCTATAGTAACGTGCATCATGGATTTCACCCTTTTTTTTAATATATTTAGTTATTTTTAATATATATTTTTATATGAAATATTTTTAGATTTAAAATTTATACAAGTTTTTATTATTTTATACTATTAATTTTATTTATGAAGTTGTATAAAATTGAATCTAATCACTCTCATTCTCTAATATATTAAAATTAATTTATTAAATTTATGATCGTTTAATCATAAAATTTTAATATTATATCAAATGATCATTCCAATCTAAAAATTTAGTTTGGTAAGTGAAACTCAAATATATAATTTATATATATATATATATATATATTTTAATAATCATGAACATAATATTGGAGTGACATTTTACTCATAATGTTTGTTTGATTTGTCTGATTTATATGATGACTACAAATGATACTATATATACTTGTACTAAAAAATTACCAGAAGAGTTCATATTTTATGCAATTAGTTTTAATCATGAACTTATATAGATTCAAATATCACCACCCTCATTCTCTAATATATTATAGTCTAAGAGAATAAAAATAGTGAAATTTAAATTTATAATTATTTGGCCTTAGAACTTTAGTATTATATCATATAATTATCTAAATCTGAAAAATTAAATTATT